GCCGACCGAAAAATGTATATCGTTTAAAAGTATACTGAACAACCAGTGTTATTACGGCTCAAGGGTATACTTCCTCTTTCATTTTGTCATTTGGTGGCGCACTTTCGGCGAGAGTCGTAAATCCGGAAACAGTCGACCGTTTCACGATAGGTGGGCGTGGCTACAACACGAGAAATATCCCAAATTTACTCGGATAAGAGTAATCATTTTCAGCAAAAAAACCAATTACCCTTTTCAGTGGGACACAGATCTAAAATGGGAAACGTGAGGGTGGGCATTGCACAGGCATTTTAAGGGGGCTGTACTGACACACAGCAAACATGAATCATTCAAAAACAAAAGTTTCTTAATTCACAATTTTAAAACTTCTTACTTGAATGATTTCGCTTTGTTTGTTGCCTGTTTGTTAGTTCCGCTGTCGACTTTGTCAAGTGAAGCTTATCATATGCGTGATTGTCCTTCGGCGTCCGTGTCAACTTTTTACTTTTTCGACTTCTTCTTGAAAACTGCAAGCCTGAATGCTTTGATACTTGGTGTATATGTACCTGTCTTAGATTTGTTAATTTCATGATGATATCTTCAATTCTCTAATTTTGGTGAATATTTTTGTCATTTTGCTAAAAAGTGATATTTTCCACTTCTTGTTAAAAATCGCAAGTCTGATTGTTTTGATATTACATATATAAGTACTACATGTAGACCTCTCTCAGATTTGTTCACTTTGTGATGATATCTTCAATTCTCTAATTTTGGTGAATATATTTGTGATTTTTGGTAAAAAGTGATATTTTCGACTTCTTGTTGAAAACAATAAGTCTGATTGCTTTGATACTATACATCTTGGTACCTCAGGTAGACCTCACTCAGATTTGTTCATTTTCTAATGATATCTTCTGTTCTTTAATTGAAATGTGCATTGCTAACAGCGGAGCTATCTCAGCTGAGAGGCTGCATGTTATAGTGTGTGTACAGTGTTTTATGTTCTTTCTTGTCTATTTTTTGGGTCGTTCTCTTTTGCGATTTTGTTGCATGCAATTAATTTTAAACAATTTCATCACAAATCGAATAACTTATGTTTCCTGCAAGTCAGTTTCAATGATCAGTAAATCAATTTGATGTTGAATAATTTGTGTTTTGCCTGTTCTCCTCTTTCAAATAGAAATAAGCTTTAATTTCTTCTCTAGAGAGCAGTGTTCATGCTTATTAGTGTGTACTTGTTCTACTTGAGGGCAGTATTATGAGATTATGACATGCTGTTTAAACACACACATCTTGATGACATGTTGCATATATCGGTTATAGTGTGAAATACCACAAAACATCTCTACTGTGAATAATATGAACCATTGTTATGTGATAATTTTGTATATTTGTGGAGGGGGTGCTTTCTGTACTAGAGGGCAGTAATCATCCATATTGTGTATTTGCTTCTCTAGAGGGCAGTGTTCATAAAATTCTGCTTGTTGGAATACTTTTTCCATGAGAGAACTCTGTTCATGCTTGTTAAGGTGTACTTTCTCTACAAGATTACAGTGTTCTTTCATATTAAAACGAGGAGTCGTCACCTGTGCATGCGGCAGATGGCCATAGTGTGTCACTGTTTACAAACAAGCATTTACCCATGAGCTTTTGCGTTTATAGCGTATGTTGTCATCATCGCTTGAGATTCAATTCCTGTGTGTGCGCCGGTGACAACCCTCTCTCTTTAAGGTGTACTTTCTCTTTTTTATGCATATGCATATTAAGTTGTACTTTCTCCCCTAGAGGGCAGTGTTCATGTATATTTGTTGATTTCTATAATAGGGTGGTATCAAAGTTCTTGTGACTGGTCCATGGAATACATCATCATCGGTATATACATGTGTTTTTGATGGATTCAGCGTACCTGCAGCGTTAATTCAAAATGGCGTCCTAAGATGTTATTGTCCAGGTATGTAGTAACCGTACCAGATGAGTGTGTGGCACCATTTCCATTGTGGCATTAATGTCAATCACAGGAAAATACTTGTACTATTCAATTCAGTATATTTAAATAATTTTTTTGATGAATAAATATATGTGTGGTCCAAATTATCTTTTATGTACAGATGATTGAAAGCACACTGGCACTATTAATACTAATTTCATCTATTCAAACATGTCAAAAAACATTCAAAGTTTTACACATTTTCTCTATTGCTGTATTTGTCGCAAAAAACGATCGCATTATTCCATTCATTTTTAATTGTAATAAAATTTAATCAAAATGCACCAGATATAGGTCGCAGATGAACAAGATTTACATTAATCAAAATGAAATAAGCATGCATTCAGAGAAGCAATATCAACTTTTGCTCAGATCAGAGTGTACAAGAAAAGCGACATTACCAAGGTTTATATCAAATTATGATTTACATGCTCCCGAACCATCACTGCGTCCATTTCAACCAGATAAAAACTTGCATTTGTACTCAACAACATATTGAATTGTTAGTAGAGCATCGTAGGTTGTAGCAAAATCATCATAAATCTGGTGCATTGATGACGACTTTAAATTAGTTCCGCTGTCCACAGCCTACCCAATGTGTCCATGGTTTTATCATCCTGTAAACCACATAGCACAAAAAAATGCTTTTGTAGAAAAGAAGTTCAACAATTTAATTTCTTTCATGATCTTGTTCATCTAGTTTTCCTTTACTTTTCCTTCTGATGATACAATAAATGGAGTCTTCCCTCTGTAAACATGGTAACAATAAAGATGATGTCACGTTTTTCCTATTAGCACATGAGACTGGCCTCATACCTCTAGAAGTGTCTCAGAATGGGAGAATTATTTCTGGGACTGTTATGTTTGAGTATAAAGCTAGAAGTATGCCCCAGCGTTCGTCTACTCAACAAGAATGGTTGTCCTTGGATGGTAAGCTTTCAAACAATGTGATCTTTGACTTAGTGAAATGAAAGAGTTATTGGCAATTAGCATTTTCCTGTAATTTTTACTGAATTTACTGTTAATATCATAACAAATTTAATCTGAATATGCATGATAATTTCAAAATGGGGGGGGGGGGGGGTAATTCCGTCACTGATGGAGGATGGGTAATTGAGACAGAGAGGAGGAGAGGTATTCCATCACCAGTGGGTGGATGTATCATCAAATATGATGTCTTGATTATAATCTCGCTTTAATCTTCACAACCCAGAAAACCAGTTCAAGATGGCAATACTGGAAAGACTCGAGCAGATAGAGAACCGAATGTCTAACAAAGAATCAAACGAAGAAAATCATGTATGTATGTCTAGAATAAATATGAAATCATTTCAATATGGCAGCACCATGCCTATTAGACTTATATATATTCTGAAAGCTTGTTAATTTACCAATATTTGTGTGGTCGTAGAGCTGTACAGGAGCGTTTATTGTGTATGGGCATCGTTAATTATGTTTAGCATCATTACTGGTGTATTTTTGACAGAAACCTGGCTCAATATCTTTCATTTTCTAGATAGTGTTTATTGAACATGATATATCTTGCTTGCATGAGGCTAGGATAGCAATAACATTTATGCTGCACAAAACCTAAAACTTTTCACCACCAGAATTTCTCACTCAAATTTTTCTGCGCTTTTTGCTTATATATTCTTTAATATTTCTGGGAATTTTCAGTTTCTATTCAAACAATTTTGGCTATTTTTGTCCCTATCTTC